TAAAAAAAAGCCATAGAAAACCAACAGCTAACAGGAAATCCTACTGAACTTGGAGCACAATTTAACATAGCTTCAAGTTCATTTATTAAATGAACTTTCTCTTTCCCCTTCAAAATTGTGATGAAACACTATTATATCCAACAAGAGCTACATTTAATCAAAACATGCCCCCCCCCTTTAAAAAAATAAGCAACTGTCCAACTATAAGCATAAGGAGCATTAGAAGATGGGAAGAGCAAATACAAGTATATTTCATAGTTCGGCTACAAGGTGAGTCTGTCAAAGCTTTGATGGCTATGCTGAGTCATAGCATCCTCACAAACTGAAAACATACCAATGCCTGACATGCATTTATTTTTTCTTAAATAATGTAGCAATTCTATTTCTGGGTATATACAAAGGAAGTTCAAACGAGGATTCAAAAAGATGATAGTACAGTCATACTCATAGTAGCATGGTTCATAATAGTCAAACTTACATGAAGCACCTACAGAAACTGAACGCAGAAGTAAAGTGGTGATGTCAAAGTAGTGTGAAGAGAAACCCAGAGAGTAAATTAAAGTTGCAGAGTTTTGGTTTTGCAAAAAATTCTGGAGACGGGTGTGGGAGACTCTGCACAGCAGTGTGAGTGTGTTTGATGCAGCTTACACACTCAAAGTGGTTACAAGCATAAATTCTACTGTGCTTGAAGCACTTTAGAACAATTCACAAAATGTCAGTTTGTTTTGTTTGAAATTGGGTCTCATTCTGTAACCCACACTGGCCTTGAAGTCACAGTAATAATCTTCTTGCCTCAGCTTCCTAAGTGCTTGGATTACAAGCATGAACCACCACACTCAGGTTAAAATATCAACATTTTTTGTTTTTTTAAAGCCACATAATAGTTATCATGCTATTTCTAACCAATGCCCTTAATACCCATGGCTCTGTAATTTCTTTTGTATTAGCTACTAATACACATGTACAAACATTATACACAGCAATATTTAATGTGACCAATTACTTTTAAACACTTAAAAGAAAAAAGACAAATTTGAAATTCTTAGGTCTCTTAGATGATTTTGGAATCACCCTTCAGTCTTTCTTTTGAATTTGTTTACTCCATACATAAAAATCCAAAAGATTTTTTAAGGCCTGTAGACAAAACTACACAACACACACACACACACACACAAAAAAAAAAAAAAAAAAAAAAAAAAAAAAAAACCACAATGGCCACAAATGATGAAATTTTTAGACAACTGATGGAAGAATGCAACAGTATTTCCATAGAACAGTCTATGGAAATAGAACTTGCTAATTTCAGATTGGGGGAAAAACAAACAAAACAAAAGCCTGCAAGTGAGTTGAAATGTGACTAAACACCAAGGAGTATTACAGGTCTACAGGACCCCCCACCTCCAAAGGCGTGAGTCTCTGTGACCTTCTGCAGTTGGAAATACATTAAATGTATCCATTAATTTTATACTACACACTATGGGAAAATTAGGTGAAAACCCATAGGACGGAGCAGTATGTCAGAATCTACAGTAAAAGGCTATAAACAAGGACTCAGGAAAGGCTGCAGGGTGTGACTACAGAACACACAGCTGCCCTCAGTGAGGGTCAACTGAGCTAGACACAAAGGGGAAAATGAAGGCACCCTTTTTACCACACCTGAAAAACAATACCATCCTCAAACAAAATAAAGCAAAAAAACAAACAAACAAACAAATAACATGCTGAAGTCAGTCAAATATCAAATTATGCATAATTTTTAGCCTAAGTTTTAGACCAGAATAAATTTAAAGCACTGAAGTCAGCACAAAACCTATCCTCCTTTCAAAATAAACAGTAGGAAGGGAGAGAAAAATAAGGGCAAAAAGAAAATCAGAATCAGTCTGACTTACCTCTCGAGTAGCTAGCTGGTTGCTGAGCTCTTCAGCCTTTTCAACATCCCATTCTTCCACAGCCTGGTCTATCCTCTTTTCAAGGCCTGACTAGAAAGAAAAAAACAAAACAAAACCAATTATGGGCAGGAAACAAAGGCAATCACTTGCTAACTAAGAGTATGTCACAGCCCTATAGCAAATGCAACATCATTCAGCCCTCTCAATAGCCCTATGAAGGCTTGCATCAATTCCCAATTATCAATAAGACATTTCTGAAACATTCAGTAGTTAGTCAAGGCTCCAATTTCTCAAGCTAACAGTTAAAAGGAGATGAAAATTCAGATTGGGGGGTGGGGTAAAACAAAGGTTGCTATTCCCTAGTAACAGCAATAATAATTAATTATAGCAATAGTTCAAAATTATGGAGTGAGTGCTTACCACATGGTAGACCCTGGGGCTTATACCACTAAAGCTATCACTTGCATCCTTCTTACAGCTCCATGAAATGGTAGCTTATTTCTAAGAGGCAGAAATAGCCATAATTCAATCAACTTGGCTGACATCACTCTCTGAGTTGTAGAGCCACCCCACATTCAGGGTTGCACAAAGTCTGAATTCTCATCTACAGCCCATTCCCATAGCTCATCTCTCTCACTCACAAGCTTTTCAGCATCTTCAATTAGAGCTCTTATGCTGACTACACAGAGAGAAAGCAGCAAATAATTATTTTATCTTCCTATGGAAATACTTTAATTTACTAAAACTGCCTCAAGAAATCAAAACTTTAACAATCATGGAATTACCAAACTAGGTAGGGCTTATCATGCACTTATCAAAAGACACCCTGACATAAACAAGGTCTAGTTGTGAATAGTGACTACAGAACATCAAAGTTTTAGGTGGTCTGATATGTGCTTCTTACAGGACAGTTCTATTATAATGACTGCCTCCTACCCTTTATTTCAACACAATGAATCTTGGACCTCATAACAAACTTCCTCCTTATATAGCAGCAAAGTGTTAAAAAAAATCTCTTCCACCAACTTGATCATAGCAGTCAACAGAGGGAGATTTTGTTCGTGAACTGTTGTTGAAATGAAGACTTATATTAACTACAACATAATCCACCAAAAAAACAAACAAAAAACTTGAAGCAGAGGCCAGTGCGCACTTCACTTGATGTCCAGCATAAGAAGACTCCTTTATCTCAATCCCATCTCAGGACTGGGGTAGTCAACTTGATTCCCATAGTAGATGGAGACCTTCATTCAACTCTCTGCCCTTATGACCCTAGTATATACGATTCTAAAGCTCATTTCCTACCCTTGTCTTCTATGTCTGAGGCTGGTGCAAGTACAATGGAAGACTCTTTCCCAGCCATTTTCATTTTTCAGGAAGCTCTAACTCTGTCTACTCCAAGCCCGAGCCCCTCCAAATGAGGTCTACGTACCAGCTCTTACGTGCCAATAGTGCAAATCTACTATGGAAATGTTTTAATTTACTAAATTTACTTCAAGAAATCAAAATTTTAAATGTTGTGGAATTACCAAACTAGGTAGGACTCATCATACACTTACCAAAAATGTATTATTTGGGTTCATGCAAAGCTAAGCTAAGGTTCTTGTGCCCCAATGCAGATCAACTACCTAGCTTTGAGGTCTATCTTGATAACTCTTTCTTAGTCTCATCTTTAGCAGTGCTATACTTCCTAATCTCTGGCCACAAGTGCCATCGTATTACTGTTCCTAGTGCCTCTGACATACTTCCCTTAAAAAAACAAAACAAAACAAAAGAACCTTCCCTATCTTTTCAGGCTCACATCAGACATTACCCTAACTTTTCTTGTGTCCCACACCGAATTGCTCTCCTATCTGCATCACTAAACTTCATGTCTCCCTTTAGCATTTGTTCACCTAACACACTGTCTTTCTCCTTTCTTGAGGTCTATGCAAAATAAAGTGTACAGTCACTGGCTTGGAGTATCCCCAAATCCTGCCCAGGAGGTACTCACTCAGCCTGTATACTGCACTGAAAGCTGCAGTGCAATAATCCATGTCTGCATTAATACTGAAGGAACCCACCGACACTGGCAGCCCCTGATAAAAATTCCACAGTAGTAACACTGAGGTAATGACGCCCTTCCAATCAAAAAGGGATAACATACTGTCATGGTTATTTATACAAATTTATCTGCAACAAATAAAAACTGTATTTCTTGGAGCTAGACCAATGGCTCAGCAGTTAAAACACGGCTGCACTTCGAGTGGACCCAAGTTCAGATCCCAGTACCAACATCGGGCAGTTTACAACCACCTGGAACTCCAGTTCCAGAGGATTTGTCACTTCTGGCATCTGTATTTCTTCAGGGCTCAAGGGTATCTTTATCTAGAGCTCCCAGAGTGTAGTATAATTAGAAGTTTATAGATTCTCCATTTTGAACTTCATGTTTAATCTATAATGGAAACGAAGCTATTTATTTACAAAATGCTAACACAATAGCCTTTACTCCCTTTGCAGAACAAAGATGTCCTCAAATGCCTCTGAGACAGATGAAGTAAATATTAACATTAAATTCAATTTTCTTATATCACAAAGTCTGAGGTAGCCAGATACCTCAATTCAGTATTTACCCAAGCGATCACCTAACCAGCTTCACTCTTTTCACCTTACTAACCTGCCCGCTAACCCTCTCTTAAGACATGAATATTATGCACAATAGCGATGCTCCCTTCCAATTACCTAGGCTTCTTGAGATTTTAAAGATCTGGTGTTACCTTCCTGTATACAATGACCAGAGTAACCCACAGATTCTCACACCTGGGTAAGTCCATGTATTAATCCATTCTACTGAATCGACTTGTTACTGTCTCTGATACTTAGAGCTAGCTCAGCAATGAATGTCACAAAGGTTGGAAAAACTCCCCTACCCCAGAAACTCCTATGACCTGCTGAGTTTAAATAAAGGTGAAGTTTCACTTTAAAATTAAATCAGAATGGGGAACACCTGTTAGCTAGTAGTACTGCCTGGAACACAGGAAACCCTGGGCTTGATCTCTAGCACGGCATTAAATCTGGCATAGTGGTGACACATGCTTGTAATCCCAGCATTTGGGAGGTGGATGCAGGATGATCAGAAGTTCAAAGTCCTTGAAGGTCATGGTGGTGCATGCCTTTAATCCCAGCAAAGGGAGGCAGAGGAGGACAGAGCTCTGTGAGTTCAAGGCCAGCCTGGTCTACAGAGTGAGTCTGTTTTCTTCTTTCATACAATGCTTTTGTCTTTTTCTTCCTTTCAGTTTTGTTTTGAGACACAGTCTCATACTGTACCCCACACTGGCTGGGAACTTATGGCACTCATCATGCCTCAACCTCCAGAATAGAGAGTTTACAGACATAATCTATGTAAGATGCCTAGCTCTGAATTTTTTTATTCTATTCTGTATTTATTAAGAACATATTAGCATTCTAAATTACATTCAAAATTCTTATAAACACTCCCATCACCATACAAAGACAAGTTCACAGCACTCTGCCAACAGCACTGCTGAAAGAGTCAAACAAAGCAGAACTCCCATTCAGGAACTGAGCAATCTGCGGAGGGTCTCCAAACTTCTATGGCTGAAGTTCTTTCATTAAAGTCAAGTAAATATAAAACCAAGCTATCTACAAAGTGATGATTAGGGTCAGGAAAATACATGTAAACTATCTAGCCAATATTAGAATACAGTAACCACCAAGTAGCATTTAATTGTTCTTCTAATATCAGAGGACTTTCAAGTGAGGTTACAGACTTCACCATACTTCTTCAGGGGCTTAGATCCAAGTATCAAGAATCCAACTCTGGGTCAGTAAATTGTCTCATCAAACAAAATTTAAGTATCCAAGCTTTTAAAGATTTTCAGGAAGGTCCCAAAGAAGTTTCTGATTTGCACAGGATTTTCCACACCAGAAGAGCAGCAGGAGCTGCAGACTACAGGTGACAGTTACAGCACCTTGGTGCATTCTTCACACTTTTTACTTGAATGAGAATTAAGCATAAAATATATCTCAAAGGACAGGTATGTATAGGAATGGCAATTTAGCCACAAGTGGAAACTTTAGCTAAGGGCACTATATAACAGGTTCCCATAAGACAAAACCTGACCTATAGTCAATAAAGCTGTCCTGCAGATGTCAAGATGGCACAACAAACAGGTGTGTAGGACTCCATGGGCACTAGCTTCATGCCAGGGACTCAAGCCACATGTGTGCATGAAACGCTTTGTGTGACTAAAGCCCTTTATGTCCAACGGCATCACAACATATGTCCATACAAATCTCAATGGCAAATGCTTATTTGAACAATATATTCAATCTTTAAAGAATAATAAAAATAAATATCTATTGAAGTTTGCCTAATTATGACTGAATTTAAATATCTAGGAGCAAAATGGAACAATTTCTCCATAAAGAACAGGAAGGAACAACAGTTAAATACAAACATAAGTTATATATTATACAAGTCATATGTAGGGGGACAGTGTAAGCCACACCTGCTAGAAGCTGGGTGTAGTCAAGGTGAGGTCAGGATGATGAGTGATAGGGTTTTAAGGGTCAGCAAGGCACATGGGAGCCCCTTCTCTCTGGCCTCCCTGCCTTGCTGCCCCTGGCACACTCTGGCTTGTGTTTGGCTAGTGTTTTTCTAATGAAGGGTATCTTTATCTCTCAAGCTCCTTTCATTCCTTAGTAGTCATATGTGATGATTTTGTTATTTTTATATATAAACCATATAAAAATTAGGTAAGTTAAAAACTAAACTTATCTATTACTTTAGAAAAAGTCAGATTGAGAACCAAATGACTTGAGTTTAAGGACTTATATCTTATCTGCTGTTTGTTTTTTAAGGCAAATACACTAAGCAGTTTCTTCATCTATCAGGAGATTAACATTGGTCCTCCCTACATTACACCATAGGGATCACAAGAAAACACTGTAACTAGTATCAGTTCTTCCCAAACCACTGCACCTCTCTCCCAATGTGCTCAAGGCAGCCAGGTTTCCTGGCCTATACAACACAGTTCCACAAAAAGATCTAGATGGAAAATGTACTCTACCACAAAAAAAGAACAAGTTTGAAAAAACTATTCTATGCAACAGCAGTTGAACAACTTATGAACAACTTAAATCAAATATCAAAGACAGTAATTCTAAAAGAATAATAAAAGTACCTGTAGTTTTCATACCAAAAGTATCCATTTGACATACCCAGGACTACTACTTCAATAATGACTGCTACCTAATAAAACTGAGTCAACTATGGAATATTTGAGACATTTATAGTGAAATGAGCAAAATTTATTCTACAGAAATTCCCACACAGATGTAAAATAATTGTTATGATTACAAAATTATTAGTAAGTCCCATTAACTGCTGCCAGAAACACAATTATAGCTGCATTTAATACAAAGAGCACCTTAAAACAGTATTGGATATTAGGAAGACTATATTAAAAAAAAATACATACGCCTCTCTGCATTGTCTGGCAGTCAGGTGACAGTAGTGTTATGATAAGCATTCTGGGCTGGGCGTGCAACAGTTTCAGCTTGGCAGGACTCCAAGGGGGGGTATGATAGACATGAGATTAAGAAGTTTTGTTTTGCTTTACTGTTCTTGAGGGTTGAGTGAAAACAAAATAAAAAGACTTTCTGATATTGAAATGACCAGCCTCTGCTCCAGAGAATAAAATGCTAGGCTAGAAATCCGTATTTGTTTACACTGTGCCTCGTGTCTGCACAATGCCACCAGATTTCCTAACTATCTGTTGGACTTACAGTTGTTCATTGCTTTTATCATAGTGTTTCCAATGTGGACATTGTTTTTGCTTTTTTTTTTTTTTAAGTTTATTTACTTTGCTGGACTCACAGTAAAGACCTCAGCAGGACAGCAAGAGAAAGAAGCATCATGTAAAAACCATGATCCCAACCTAGACAAAGAGTGCAAAACTGCTGGCATGCCATTACACTCAACTCCAAGAGACGCTGAGATAATTCAACTTTACTAAACCCCTCCTTTCCTTTCGTGCTGGCATTTACTTGACCAATAGTTAACTGCTGAAAAAATATAAGCCTGGCCAACAACAGTTTCCTTGATTAGAAGACTCATAGCTTTCTTTGCCAGGTGTCATTTATGCAGAGGAATATCTGCAGGAAAGAGCCCAAACTTATAATCACAGTTAGACTCACAGCACTTCCTCTTAAACAGAGTTCACACCTTTAACTGCTGTTTTGACTTTTCTAGAGTGGATGCAATGCATGGTGAGACAAGGTGCTAGGCCCTAAGATGGAGTTCGTCAAATGAACTATGAAGAACCCGTGTAACTCCACAAGAGCTAGTCACATCTAGCCAATACTCAGACTGTACAACTCCAAACAACAGGGTAACAACAGGATTCTAGTTGGTTGTAAAAATATTGTTCTCTGCATTTTAGAATGTTACAAAGTTGATTCCATGGCTTTAGTGTCTCTTATCAATTAGATACTCTGAAGCCAATACTGTAATGAGAAAAAATAATAAATATTGCAAATAACTGAAAATCAAAGGCCATGTAACTCACAGGTTAAAAAAAAAAAAAAAAAAAAAAAGAGTTGAACAGTGGTTCTCAACCTTCCTAGTCCTACAACCCTTTAATACAGTTCTTTATGTGTGGTGACACCCTGACCCCCCAAACCATAAAATTATTTTCATTGCTACTTCATGACTGCAATTTTGGTACTGTTATGAACTGTAATGTAAATAAATACTGTGTTTTCTGGCAGTCTTAGGGGACCCCCGTGAAAGGGTCACTCCACCCTCAGGTTAAGAACCACTGATCTCATCAGTGGCTGGGACTCCATAACAGGTCTACCAGAGATGGCCCATGGCTCAGGGCAGTCAACAAGTTCGTCCACCCTGCTTCAGGACAGATTTGACATTCAAGAGCAGCCTAAGTCAAAGTCACATGATCTGCTCCCAGCACACATGAATCCTAAGGGTGAAGATCATCACAAAAACATGTATGGAAATGCACTACCTTCCACAGTGAGTACAGGGAACATCAGCATGGTGTCTTAAGACTCAGAATTTACTTGCAATGGGAAATGTATTACTTTTGTATCTGCTCAGTAGTAGGTGCAGAAAATGACCCTAGGCCAAGTAACCAGTTTTTAAGGGGCCATTCTGGAATGAATAATTCTTTGTACAACTGGAGAGAAGAGTGTGCTGTGACTATAATCCCAGTCACAGGCTGAATCAATAGGATCACTCGATTGAGATGAGTAGTTCAATACTAGCCTGGGCAATAAATACAATCAGACCTCATCTCAAACACAACAAAACTCTAAAACACATCACATACAAATTCTCTTGTGAAAGGCCCTTAATTTACATCTCCACAGAGAGATATCACCAAATAATTATAGATTTAATGAGAGATTTTTCACAAAAAAATACCAACCCATCAGAAAACGGCAAAGGTCTTTAAGTATACTGAGCAGTCCTCAGCAGTGACCCATCTCTAAAGCAAGCACAGGATACACAGGTTCCACTAGCCCCCAGAGGTCTCTGCCCCTACCACGGAACATAGGAGTCTCACGATCTTAGGCTCTACCAAGACCACTTCCCACCCCACCATGAATATGTGCCATATTCCTTCAAGGCCTTTTCTAATTTCTAAAGAGTAACAACTACAAACACATACCTCACAATCAGATACTGCTCTGAGTTCCCATCTCAGTATTACAGCCATTATTTAGTCTTTTCTTGTGTTCTGATTAACACTTATACCCCAAACTGAATTCTGAATAGGTTCTACACTCAATCTTTTCTTTCTAACTTTTCTCATCTTTCTAACTCACCTGAGAAACGATGTAAAGGCAAAGACTACCAATTCTACTTTCACATTAAACCCTCAAAGCCCCACTTCTCCATCTTCATCAACACCACTGTCATCAGTGGACCATTATCTTGTGCACAGTCTGCTGTTTTCTCATTTACTTTTACTACACCATCATCTATTCTCCACCTAACAGTCAGGGAATCTTTAAAACAGAAATTAGATCATGTCACTATCCTAAAAGCCAAGTGCACTGAAAATAAAGTCCATTTGGCTCTCTGAAGTCCTACTCAGTTTTGGCAGCTCTGTGAGATTATCTTGAGTCTTGAGCTACCTGTACCTCACTGACTCCACTCAGGCCAGTGTAGCCTTCTCACTAAAAAACTAAAAGGTCTCACATTAACCCCTGCTGTGGCATGATATTTCTGTATGCTGTGAAAATTTATTCCTCTCACTGGTTAACAATAAAAGCTGTCTGACAATAGCCCAGCAGGATAAGGTGGAACAGTTAAACTAAAAACTCAGATGAGGTGGGGTGGAGTCAAGAGAGATGCCAGCCAGCCGCCAAAAAGCAGAATGTGTTGAAAATAGGTAAAAAGTCACAAGGCAAAACATGGATAAAAACATGGATTAATTTAAATGTTTGCTATAATGAGCCCGAGCTATTAGTAGAGCATTAATAATTAATAAAAGCCTCTGAGTGATTATTTGGAAGCTGCTACAGGACAGGAACAGAGAAACCTCTGTTTACAAACTCCACCTATAGGTTCTTCACCTGTGTTTCCACAGCCTGTGAGTGATCATTACTTAAGTAAATAGCCTTTCACCACCCTTCAGGCCTCAGTGAGAGGGCCTCTTATAACAACAGCTTTCTTTCACCACCCAAAGCAAAAAGAGTGAGGCCCTCACAATAATACTTTCACAGCTCAGACTTCTGATTGAGTTTTAAACTAAGTATCTACTTGTTTACACAGCATCTTTTTGGAACACAGCAAGATATTTTGTTCTAATTATATAAATCAATGAAGTAGTATCTTAAGCAAGGCTAATCACAAACACATCCTGCTAGCCAATATATAATGGAATAATACAAAAACAGAAAGATGGTTCTTACCTTCTCAACTTTTTTCTGCTTAACAGGGGGTTCAAATCTATCATTGGCTCCAAAATACTGAGTAAGCTCCTTCCATTGGGTGTCACTTGAGGACTGCTCACTGCGAGAAGACAAATTAAGTCTGTGTACACAAATTATGACCCTCTGACTGTTTTTAAGTGCTTGCAATAACTACACGTCAATGACTACTTGTCATGTCTGATAAATATTAAGATAAGTAGTGCAGCAATCTACAAAGTTCCACAACACTACTGAATAGTAACTATTTTAAATTCCACGTACCTGTGAGATTCTTTTTCATTCTTCAACTTGCCTAAAAGGAATTTAGAATACTTAATTATTTACCTATTATTTCAAAATCAAATTTTAAGAAATTAACTCAGTCAATTAAGAATCAGTACAACTAACAATCTAAATTAAAATAGACACCTTTTCTGCAGCGTTTTCTTTTTTTCTGTCTGAATCTTGACGCTGAATTTTTCTGTTCAGAATGTTTTTTATGCAATTCTTGGAATTTCTATGTAAAAAGAAGAAAAAGCAAGTGTGTATATGTGCTGGAGGTAAACATATATTTTAACAACGAACGGATTTATGTAGTAAAATCCTTGTGCTCTACCATTTCTAAAGTCACCAACTAAGGAATTCTGCTGAGATACTCCAGTCCCCACAGCTCTCAGCTGAACTGGGATATTCACTGGTTATGATACAGGGTGTATGATAACAGAGAATCAAGTTCAGTGACTCACAGTTAAATGGGGAAAAAAGAAACTCATTTATCATGTTAGGCAAAGTAGAACAGATACAAGTTTTTCTTCTTCTATTTATGTAAAACAAAACTAAAATCAAAGTATCCAAATGGCTAAAAGAACAGTGAAAAGTATCATGAGCTCCTTCTGCTATCTGCTATATCCCAACATATTCTGCCCACCTCACAGACACACAAGACACATGCACATATACACATGCACACTTTCCTAACAACAGAGAAAACCTACATTCCACATGTTCAGGGGACATCCAGAAGGACATTTTTCATATGCATCTGCATCAGCCTCTGTTTCAGTTTTTGGCTTGCCTGCTGGGAAATCTGACATTTTTGGGTTCCCACTGCTGTCAGTCTTTCCATCTTCCTGTAAATTAAGTTCTGGATTCTCTAGTGTGGCTTCATCTTCAGAATCTGACTCAACATCACTTTCATTTAACCCAGGAGGTAACAGCCCACTCCACATCTTTTCTTCTAGGAGGAGAAAGGGAAAGATGAATTCAGACTCAAATAATAACCACAAAAACTATTTCAAAGCCACTAACAGATATCCCAGAAGACCAATGTCTACCAATGATCTAGGAACAGCCAATTTAAATGTTAAAATTTTAAATGAGACAAACCCTCCATATAAAATAGCTAAAAATCAGTTGTGTTAAGTTGAAAACAAAAAGTTTAAAAGTAATTTAACAGTTTAGGTATGTTAACAACAAATACCTCCAGATAAAACTGAATATTGATTTTCTAAAGTATGGATTATTCTGAAACTTAGTAAAGCACTCACGGCTCAAGAATGCCAAACACTTAACAATATACTCTGTAGGAATTCAAAACCAAGTATTTTTTAAAAACTTTATCGAGACAGGGCCTTACTCTGCAGCCCAGGCTGGCCCTGAACTCCTGAAGATCCTCTTGCTTCAGCCTCCTAAGTGCTGCGATTGAATGCAAGAAACATCACAGCCAGTTTAAGGCTTAAAATACCGTGCTTCACGCTGTACCCATTACAGGACAAGATGAAGGTGGGTGGGAACATCAGCTAGATGAAGCACACACAACTTTTAAAAAGCTTTTTGTCTAAGGAGCAGGTAAACAGCTAAAGAAAAAAACTCTAAGTTGTATTCATGTTTTAAAGGATATAGTAGTATGGGCAACAAGATGGCTCAGCAAATAAAGGCATTTGCCACCAAATCCCATGACCTGAGTTCCATCCAAACATAGCAGGTGAAATGCAACTTCTGTAAGTTCTCCTCTGAGCTCCACCTTCGTATATGCAAGCACACCCATATACAAAAAAAAAAAAAGTGTAAAAAAAAACCAAAACCTAACAGTAAATAAAAAGTGTAGTAGGTGGAAAAGATATCCTAGTTTTACATTTTACAGTTTGCTAAAATAAACCAAAAGAAATACAACTGTAAAATGTAATAAGCACACAGCTTTCTTGAATAACAATACTATGCATTTGGGAAATAAGAAATTCAGCAGAGGATTGACATTATTTGTATAGCCCACTGGTATAATCATTACACTTCATAAAAATGACTTCTAGAATTAGTGTAATCATTTCCAAGATTATGAAATCTTCCTTTGATTTCCACAGTACGGACTTTCTTTTTTTTCATAAAACTGAATCGAAAACAGTTACAGCTCTCAAGATTCATCATCAGGAAGAAGGAACAGAACAAAAAGCTGTCTTTGCTGAGTGTCCTGCCCTATTTCACAATTAAGCTAGCGAGAAAACCAATCCCGTTCTCTTTGGGTCACAGGTATCAAGGATCCTTGCATTACTTTGAATTACATATTTCTACTTTCTCTTAAGGACTGCCTCTCAGATTTAAAAAAAGCTGGTTTTATTTTTGTGTCTTTAGGCCAGAACTTGATTTTCTGAAACATTCTCTTGGCTTTTAAAAATAAACCCCTCTAGACTCCTGACTCCAGTTCCACCAGAAGCAGAAGGAAATGACTTAACATCTGACCCTCGGTTTCTTTATGTGTAGCACAGAAGACTCACACTGCTTAGTCTGAGGATGAAATGAGATACAACACTCAAGAGTGTCCAGGAGGTTCTAGGGGCTCAATAAATGTTTGAATGCCTGGTGCTGAAAACCTTTTTCTCTTTTAAATAAACTTGAACTGTGCATCAAAAAACAAATGTTCAGTGGTTCTTGCTATTATTTCTGTGGCCATCAAATGGATTTTTATCATCCCTAATATGGACAGAAGGGCCCATAAGACACCTTTGAAGTTTCTGATATTTGTGGTGCTTCATTTATCAACTGATACAAATCATGTTCCTCCCTGATCTCCACATCCTGACAGGAAGCCTCTATAAATAACCTGGTATTTGGCCTCAGAAGAGGGCAATAAAACAAGAGGCAGATTACCAGACCATTAATGGAACTCAAATATTAATGCTCCTTATTTATACAGGACTTCTCTAATCATTGTGTGTGTAATTTTCTATCCAGAATTTATGTTCAACTCAAAGAAAAGTCCCCAAGTTATATGTGTCCAGCCTTATAGAACCTGCATCTACCCCTAAACTTAGTCTGTAGGTTTTCAAAGTTGGAATAAAGGAACTCTTGAGAATTAACAGCCTCCAAAATGTCTTTGGGCTCACACATTTGAGGACACTAAACTGTAACACACTCAGATACTTTTTAAGCATGTTTGGGGCCTACTGTACAATGTATGCCCATGGCATTTTTCACTGCATGCTAAATATTCTCTAAGAGCTTGGGAATAAAAGTACACAAAACAGGATAGCATCTGTAGCCTCACAGAGCAATGTTTACACCAGGGCTAGGAGATGCCATTCAACCAGACCTTCAATAGCATGTGCTTTAGTGTGTCTGGGGTTTCACAATCTACTTTCTGGGCTGTCAAATGTGCTTCCCCACAGAGAGAATCTCAGTTACCCTACGCAAGTTATGCTTTTCCTTATCTCTTCAGGCAGCTATCCAGTTTTCATGGCTTTCTGGACTTTTTCAAAATTACTTTTATCTACTGCTGATATGGTATCCAAAACTGTCCTCAATACGATATTTTTCTAGCTTGATAGTTTCTTAAATGCACCTGAAGAAGAAAAGTTAAAAGAACCTCCAAATCCATAATACAAAATTCAAGTAAGGTATATTTTTAACTCAGTCCTTTAAAATCTTTAGACTAAAATCATCGGTCTCCTGTGATATTGGGGAGGGAGGCTGGCATGAAAAAGGAAGCATAAGAACAGATGTAGTATATCCGGGTCCCTGCTGATAAACTCAGGTAACTGCTGGTAATAAGCCTGCAAGACAGAGCTGTCCACTGAAGAAGCAGCTCGACTGCACACCAGCCAATACAGAAAGGCTACTTAGTAATGTCTGCCCTGGGCTCCTGTTGGAAGGTATTCCCTTTCTATTCCTATCAATATGTGTCACTCATATGTTTTCCAACTGGCCTCCTGTTACTTCTGTTTGGACTTCTCTGAAGGGAGATTATTTCTTTGAAGTCTCTCTTTCATTCCTTTCAGGATGTATGTCTATTTCAAGGGAGAAAAATCCTAAATTAGTCTCTTAACTGAGAAAATTCACTCAGCCAGTCTCAAAAGATGTGGAATAGTAACAGACAAACAGAAAGTCAATTCTTCTACGTAGATTATTGCCAGGCCCATAGCACAGCCAGTGAGTTAATTTGTAGGCTTCAGTTCTTAGCCTGTAACCCAATATTTAATTTAATCATGATAGTCAAAAGGAAGATGTAAATGAGCCGTGATTCCCCCCTTTTCTCTAAAGTTTCAAATATCACCTTCATTTTATACAGTCATCACCACTGCAGTTATGATTTACTCCACCCTACAATTTTGGTACAACATGGGACACATCTAGTTCTGGACAGACACCATTTGCCAGGAACTGAATGTACTTCTGTACTGTTCTAAGTCTAGATAAAGAGGGTTTCAACCTTAAAAAACCACCGTTGCCATGTTGAGTACACACTGGCAAAAAACAATGCACTGAAAATAAAGTAGTTCAGCAGATGGTTACCAAGGCATTTACAGTTTTATAATGAAAATACTGTAAGTCCCGAAGCTAACAGTCAGTATTTTATTTTAAGTCAAATTATTTTGCCCCTGGTAGCAAGGTATCATCTTGGTAAGGAAACTAAAAACCAGTGAAGTATTACCCTTCACTTGTTACCAGAGATTTTGACTAGACACCTCATTTTTTATTAAAAAAAAAAATTTAAAGGTTTAGTAAATATCATCTCATCTCTCAAAATACAGAAAACATAGAGATACCAAACCTCAATAATAAAAGTTCTAGCTTGTGACAGGCTTGGAATTCAGATGACTTCCAGCCCTGAGAGGGCAGGCCATTCCATTTGCTGGGTCTCCATCCTTACTAAGCTTTCAAACCAAAGTGTCATCAGTTACCACTGAGATGTCTTACATCTTTAAAATGTTTATAACCTTAATGTTGTCAGTGTGCCAAATGCCCAGAACTGCCTCACTCTTTGATGTAACATCCTATTCTCCCCTAATCATGCAGTCTTGATTAAAGTCCAGGAAATGCAGTTTCTCTCTCTACCTCACAATCCAATCAAAGATTACCAGCTTCTAGAGGCTCTGCACCCAGGCTACTGAAAAAGGCCAGGAAACCCAGTCACAACAAAAGACACAAAAGCAGTGGGAGAAAAACAAAGCAGGCCATGTCACACAAGGCACACAAACCAAGAGGCAGGCATTAATCCTCATCACAACACTCATTAGAAATTAACATCAACCCTTTCGCAACTGGCCTAAATCATTGTGATCCACTTATTTTACAAAGGCAGAGCCTGACGGCTTTCAATTATGTACTTTTGGAGGGCAAAGTTGGTGATGCATTCTTGGAGACAAAGATTTGGGAGAAGAGCCAAAACAATGATCCTAGGCTGTAATTATAAGATTGCTAAAACTTACTAATAATTTTTTCTGCAGTTCTTACATATGAAAAACCAGGCAAGACATTACACTAAGTACAATGTAGTACAATGAGAGTCGCATGTACAAGCCTGAGAAATGTATTTCTGGGCCACCCAAATGCTTACAAGCAATGCCCAAAAGATTAAAAACCTGAGCATCTCAACGGATAAGCATTTCCTGTCTCTAATATGACAGAATGTAAACTGCGTTTTCATAAAATTACTATATTTTATCACATATTTTGTATTCATTTTAAATCACAGACATCTAAATTTAATCTTATTTGTAAAAAATAATTATAATCATCCAACCTATAACATCATAATAAAGCACTTAATTAGTTATTTAACTTCTGAATTAGTTACCTAGCGTACTCTGGGGGCTTAAACTACCAACATTAACGTAAATGTCTTATATATTGTGAGGAAATGTGTCCCTTTTTCTCCAAAGAGCAGAGAAAACACACGGGGTGGCAGGCCCGGGTTCGGATTTGTTTCACACAAACTATTTCCTTAGCAGGATTTCTCTTTGG